ATACAGGGGGTTAGGCTCCTCCATAACAAAGGTGCCAGGCAGGCCACATTGGGAGATCAACAGCCCGTTTCTCAGTTTGCCCGAGAGCTTCCACTTGCCTCACAGCCTTTGAGTCTCTCTCTCTCCACTTCCTTGAAACACCTGCCAATATCCCTCTGCTGCCATTTAAGCCTCCCTTAAAGAGACCACAACACAAGTATCGGGAAAATGTATCTACCATCCAGGACAAACTCCCGGTATCCTGTACATTATATATATATATATATATATATATATATATAAAATGACACAATTTATTGAATTAACACAGGAAAAGCCATAAATGGAAGCAAACATCTTTCTTAGGGGTTTAAAATTAGTACACTTGCGTAGGTCCATGCGTTTCATGGGTATACCCGCCTCTCCAGGACCCAAAAGTCATTTACTTTAAAGTATACATGTTCAAATTTTGATAAATCTCCCAAGCAAAATAAAGAAAAACAACAAAGAGTAACAATGAAAAAGAACATATGTAACAAAGAAAAAATATGCATATATACAAAAAACCTATCTATACGACATGAAGAGAGCCAGTTATAGCAAAACTTTTTTAATATATATGTGTATTATCAAATATACAACGTACTTATACATTGTGCTAATGCTCTTACCCCTGAATATTGGGAATGAAATGTCAGATGAAAAAGGATCTTGAAATATGGATGAAATATATATGTGTCACTAACATGCGCCTGCCGGCCCAAGGGAAATCACCCCTGCAGACATCAAAGCCCCAAGACCAGAATGAAAATTCTATGGAATAACCACATAACAACAGGGATAAATGGATATTATTATACAGGATTTATATGGCACCAACAATTTGCGCAGAGCTTTACAAAATGAAGGTAGACATTACAGTTACAATACAATTTGGTACAAGAGGAAACAGAGGGCCCTGCTCGTTAGAGCTTACAATCTAGGAGATGAGGAAAACGTGTCCTAAAAAACAATCATAAGACACAATAATGTGCGTAGCATTACTATAAATGCATAAAACACTCAAACATGATGTATATGTGCCCAAAATAGATCAAAAGTAAAATGCATATGGGACACAATTGTATGGCGGGGGCGTTGTCTTCAAAGAAATCAAGGGCTGAGTCCCAGAAAAAGAAAATAGAGATATGTGTATCTGGAAAGGGAAAAATTGACTACATTGCCTGTATGTTCTCTAATCATATAATATTAAATATACATCCCTCAAGATAATAAAGAGTCATGAAAATATAGTATAAAAACGTATTGAGGAAAAATGGTGTATATTAGATTTGAGGCCTAAATATATATCCCATGATAGCTGGCAAAGTTTACCTCAAGTGTGGAAACAATGAATCTACAATAGAAGTATAGATTAAAGATGGTCTACAAGCTTCTGTCTAGATATCTAGACCCATTGCAAAATGCCCGTAAAGGAAATGGCCTAGGAGGAAGCCATCAGAGTGTAAAGACAAACATGAGTGCCAGCATAAGAGAAACCACTTTATCTCGTTTGAGAGACAAACATGATGTCAGAAGTAGAAAGAGACAGTAGACCACCACAGACTTCAAATATATACAGGGGGAAAGTTTCGGGGGTCACTCACATGCAGCTGATGAACTCAAATGAGGACCACATTTGTCCATGGCATGTGGGAGGGCCGTTCCCCCCTAGATGCTCATCGCCCAAAATCAAAATGGCGCCTGTGTGCACGATATGGCATCACTTCCGGTTTCACCCAGAAAGGGGAAGTTGGAAAACAAGATAACCAGAGAAAGAGTTCCTACCATAACACCATCATGGTGCCCTTATATGGACAAATAAAGAACATATCCAATGCCATAAAATCATCTCAAATAAATGATCCATCACAGTGCCCCCCTGTGGGCACAAAAAGAATATGATATTATAATAGCTGTATGAATTAACAGCAAAACCTGCAGAATCAAAGTATTAGAGGGCACAATGATGGTAGGGTAGAGCTAAGCAGGGGCGACTTGGCTCGCCAGACATGCAGGGACACAAAATAACTGGATCTTATAGTCAAATAGGAGGATTGACAAGAAATACATTTGAAATACAGAAAGAAAAAGAAAAAAGGAAATATAAAAATACTAGCAATGCAAAAATGAATATACAATAGTGATGTATCTCCATAACATAGCAAACATATATATCAATAGGGACATATTTATTTAGAAATTTCTAAAATGGGCAGCTTCGAGTTTTAAGATCAATATCAAATAAGACAGATACATAGAGTAGTGGATTATCTAAGCTGGATACAAAAATGGAATAAAACTAAGTGTATCATTCAAACCCGGGGATGAAGTTGCCTTAAAATGGTATATCCATCTTGTCTCAATTCGTAGAATGATGTGATCAAAATCGCCCCCGTGGACTAGAGGATGAATACGTGCCAGGGCTGAAAATTTTATAGGATCTGGTTGGTATTGGTGAAATAACGCAAAGTACTTAGCAATTGGCTTGTCGACCAGACGAGCAGTAATTTCTGCAACATGGTCTTTATTACATTGCCAGAATTTACGTTTTGTCTTACCAATGTAGTAAAATCCACATCCATAAACAAACAAGTCATCAAGTAAATACAATAATATTGCAATTAACAAAGTGTTTAGGTTTAAATGTTTGCAAATTGGGGAGATGCAGTTCCCTGCTTTCATTGATATATTTGCAGTAATCACATTTCCAACATTTAAACGTGCCTTTGGGTAATGAAAAACATGGATCTTTCCGGCCCATGGAAAAATGGCTAGATACCAGATTGTACTGTAAGGATCTATTCTTGCAAAATATTAAACAAGGTTTATCCTCAATAAATTTGCCTACAGTAGGGTCATCCTTGAGTATATACCAATATTTATTTAATATTGATCGAATTTTATCTGTATGATTATTGAATTTAACAATGGGGCAAATTTTTGGCCGAGCATTCCTGGACTCTCCCCCCTGAATCAGTAATAGGTCCCATGGGCAATTTTTCGTTTGTTAGTACGCATCTTTAAGAGATTTCCTACTGTAACCCCGTTCTATAAAACGTGACTGTAATAGATGTGCCTGTCTTTCAAAGTCAGCCGGATCTGTACAATTTAGAAGGAACTGCATATATTGACCTCTTGGGATCCCCATGGTAAGTGGATGAGCGCTATTATAATGCAAAAGAGAATTTCCAGCTGTGGGTTTCCTAAATAGGTTGGTCTGGATGTTTCTAACTGTATCTTTTATAATCAAAAGATTAAGGAATGGTAAGGTATTAGTAAGATAGGATAGAGTAAAAGTGAGGTTAAAGTAATTCCTATTGAGCCGGTCCACAAACTCAGCCAAAAGAGCTGCTGTACCTGACCAAAAGATGAGTATATCATCAATATATCTGTGCCAAAGAGTAATGTGGTGCAGATATATGGATAGGTCAACTGATGTAAAAATAGATCGCTCCTACCCCCCAAGGTACAGGTTGGCATACGATGGGGCACAAGTCATCCCCATCTCAACCCCCTGCACCTGGAAGTAGTGGAACAAGAAAAGATTGTGAGTTAAGATGAATTCCAAGAGTTCTAAAACAAAGAGATTGTGTTGAGCAGTACTTCTTTCTCTTAGAAACAAATATACGATGTTCAAACCAAGTGTTTGGGGAATACTAGAATACAGGTCCTCTACATCTATGCATGCCAAAATAGTATGCTCACTCACATGTAAATTGTCTAGTATAGTTAGAAGGTGAATGGTGTCCTTCAGGTATGATGGTAGAGATTCAACATAATGGCGGAGATAGTTATCCACCATTTTGCTGGTTCTGTGTGAGAGAGAATTGATACCTGAAATTACTGGTCTCCCAGGTGGTTCCTTCACATTTTTTGTGAGTTTTGGGCAGAGCATAGAACATAGGGATAACTGGAAATGTGACTTTTAAACAGTCATGCGTATTTTTAGAAATAAGGTGAGTGGTAAAAAGGTCTATCAATGATGGTTTCAAATTGTCTCTGGTATATAATAGTGTCTGAAGGTTCGGTTTTACGGTACCATGCAACTTTCTTTAAGATTTTATAACACATAGACATATATTTTTCCGCCGAAATGATGACTATATTATCCCCCTTATCTGAGGGTGGAGTTGTTCAAATGCACGTTGTTGGACATAGGACAGATTAGATGATTTGGTTTCTGGGACATTTTTTTCAATTTCTTTAGAGACCACATCTAAGAATAGTTTGACTCTAGATTTATTATAGGATGGAAATTTACATGATTTGTTTTTAGATTCTGTGCATATGGGAGGATTTTGAATTACTTCCTCACCTGGCAGTATCATATCCATTTAGTGAGGGAAGGTATCCAGATGATCCCAGATACCACCCTCATTTTCTAATAATGTAAATGTTTTGAGCGTTCTAAAGTCTGCTTTAAAGAAATTTTGATACATCAAAGATTCATGTATTTCTTGGTTTTGTTGTTGCCCTTCATAGAATTTGAATTTAAGTTTACGTGCAAACAACTGTAAGTCTTTGATGAATTCAAAATGATCTAAAATGGTAGATGGACAAAAATTGAGACCTAATTGTAGGACAGATAACTCACTCTCTGAAAAGGTGATATCTGTGAGATTAATGATATCAAAAGTGGAGAAAGTGGACAGGGAAGAGGGGGAGGGATTCACTCCTGAAGTGTGTGACTTGTGTTCAAGTGGGACGTATGACGAATCCGTTGAGGTTCCCTAAAGGGGTCTGTCTATGTTGAGATCTAGTATTGTAATTAAGCTTCTTAAGTAAAGGAGTAATAGGGGGAACTAAATTCAATGTTGTTTGCAATCCAGGGACAGGCGGTGTCATGTACCTGGTTGGGAAGCCTGACGTGGAGAGGAGGTGTCCTCTTACTACTCCCACTTGGAACCCCTGATAGTGGGGACAGAGGGCACCAAGCCAGGAGTGGCATGAGTGCCTGGTGGGTCTTGAGATGACTGTAGGCAGGTGAAGACCCGGAAGACCCGGATGCAGGCAAGGTGCGGATGCAGGAGCGTAGGTGCAGCAGCAGGTAGGTATGGGGGCAACCAGGATACAGGCCAGGTGTGGATGCAGGAACATAGGTGCAGCAGCAGGTAGGTATGGCAGTAACCAGGATACAGGCCAGGTGCAGATACAGGAACGTAGGTGCAGCAGCGTCAGACAAGCCGGGTGAGGATCAATTGGGCAGATCAGGTACAAGGGAGCAGGCAAGTGGATAGTCAGGGATAAGCTGGGTCGGTGCAGACAGAGTTCTTTCTTAGTCATGGTCAAATCAGATACAGGCAACAGAATCAGGTTATGAAGTACAGGACGTTGTAGACCAGAAGGCATAGGCTAAAGTGTGTTGGTGATTTAAATAGCTCGCCTTGCGATGACATGTACGCTGGTGCACATGCGCGTAATCGCACGCCCCCGCGTATGCGCACCGCCACGGCTGACAGGGATCCGGCGCATGTATGTGCTCCGCCGTGGTAATGATCCCTGACAGATGGATTACGTGTACCATCAGTGAGATCGCCATAAAAAGGTAATTCCTCAAATTCTGATGGCGGAGGAGGTTTTCCCTTAGTGGGAGGCAACCGTGAAGTAGAAGTGTTAAGTGAATCACCACATGTTTTACCGTCACCTGTTCCAGATGAAGGTACCATTCTGTGAGAGACACCATGTTCTAGTTGGAAGTTAGAGAAGTTCTGTAAAGATACAACAGATGATGAAGTAGATGCATCAGATATATTTCCATCATTTGATTCATTTCGATTAGCCAAATGTTTTTTATTATTATAACACTGACTATTTGTATTCCATTTATAAGCTCGGCCTGTTCTAAACGCAATGACATCTCTTGAAAACGTATTTTTGATCTCAACTAGTTGTACATTGTAATGATCAGTAAAGTCTCTCAGGTTTTTGTCTTACGTGTGAAAGAAGGAAGATTGTTGATACACATTTAGCTTCTGAATTACTAATTGTATCTCATTTTCCAGTTCTATTATTTCTGAATCATAGTATTGTTTCAAAATTTCAAGCATGTTCAAAGATCATGCTGTAAGAAACTGGATCTTGCTTGCGCAACTTCCTTCGCGGTATGCACGCCAGCTCCATTTTTATTTTGGGCGATGAGCATCTATGGGATAGTGGCCCTCGGAACCCCCTTCCTGTATATATTTGAGGCATGTGGTGGTCTTCTGTCACTTTCTACTTCTGATATAATTTTGGTCTAATGTTTGTCTGTCAAGCGAGGTAAAGTGGTTTCTCATGTTTGGCTTTACACATTTTTAGACTCTAATGGCTTCCTCCTAGGCCATTTTCCTTACGGGCATTTTGCAATGGGTCTAGATATCTAGACAGAAGCTTGAATCTATACTTCTTTTGTTGATTCATTGTTTCTACACTTGCAGCTTGAGGTAAACTTTGCCAGCGATCATGGGATATATATTTAGGCCTCAAATCTAATATACACCATTTTTCCCTCAATACGTTTTATACTATATTTCCATGACCCTTTATTTTGAAACAATACTTTATTTTGAAACAATGCTATGATTCAGAAATAATAGAACTAGAAAAAGAGATACTATGTTTCCATGACCCTCAAGATATAGAGGGATATATATTTAATACTATATGATTAGAGAACATACAGACAATGTAGTCAATTTCTCCTTTTCAAGATACACATATCTCTATTTTCTTTTTCTGGGACTCAGCCCTTGCTTTCTTTGAAGACAATGCCTGCCATACAATTGCACCCCATATGCATTTTACTTTTGATCTATATTGGGTACATATACATCATGTTTGAGTGTTTTATGGATTTATAGTAATACTACGCACATTATTGTGTCTTATGATTGTTTTTTAGGACACATTTTCCTCATATCCATTTATCCCTGTTGTTATGTGGTTATTCCATAGAATTTTCACTCTGGTCTTGGGGCTTTGATGTCTGCAGGGGTGATTTCCCTTGGGTCGGCAGGCAAATTTTAGTGACATCCATATTTCAAGATCCTTTTCCATCTGACATTTCATTCCCAATATTCAGGGTAAGAGCATTTAAATACATTGTATATTTGATAATACACAAATATAGTAAAACATTTTTTACTATTACTGGCTCTCTTTATGTCTTTTATAGACAGGCTTATTTTGTATATATGCATATGATTTGTTTGTTAAATATGTACTTTTTTTCATTGTTACTCTTTGTAATTTTTCTGTATTTTGTTTTAGAGATTTCTCAAAATTTTAACATGTATACTTTCAAGTAAATGACTCGTGGGTCCTGAAGAAGCGGGTATACCTACGCGTCAACCTATGAAAGTGGATGCATTTTATACACCTAAGAAAGATGTTTACATCTATTTATGTTGTTTTTCTATGTGTCAATTCAATAAATTATGTAATTTTATATAAATCTCTGTTTGTATGTATAAGTCATAGGATCATTTATAAACCTTCGAGGTATATTTAAAGTCCCCTATTTCCTATACCCTATTTCTTGATCTGACATTACCCCTCTCTTCCTAGGAAATATATGTATTTGTAATGGTCCTGAACTCAGTGAATATTTCTTTTAGTGGATATTACAAATATTAGTTGTGTCTAAGCAGTACCCTAAAAAAGTACCTTTTGTCCAGAATTCATCCTCAAAAAAAAGCTCTTTGCTAAATCATTTCACTCAGTGAAAACCACTTAGCATGGGATAATTTGCAGGTGGGGACTCTATGTGTGTCTCTGCTGGTCAAATAAAGTTTTATGGGTGACAGCATCAGAATGCAACCCTGTTTTCAGCTTGGTGAGAATGAGATGGAGCTGAGAATGGCTCCCTTTGGTATGCAGCTTACATGCACAGTACTGGAACCAATGAGGATTAAGAGGGTCTTTGGAACGGTACCTTTCGTTCGGATTTGCAAACTATTCCTCCATGCTACACTACTACAAAAAAAGTACCGTAACTATTATCCTTATGCTAACATGCAACTATACAAAAATACCCTTTATATTTCAAAGGGAGGCTCATAAAGTCACCTCCCCTCTGAGCCTGGTCCACTTGAGGGCTGTATTGGCCAATGTAAATAAACCACTTACAACAATTGTACTATGCATGTCATAAAAGACTGTCAGCTCTCACAGATTGTTTAGTAACATCAAGCTGTATTAATCCCATATATGTCTGCACTTATTTGCATATACATAAAAAACAGTCAAAACTATGCATAAAAAATAATGATATTTTGCAATCTGAGAAAGGAAATGCCATATTCGTAGCCCAATTTCTCGGTCATACATCTGGAGGGAAATTGCTTGTTTAAAATGTCAGTGCAATAACTTTTCTCAACATAAATAGGAACTTTCAGTGTATTCGTTTGCATGCAGCTCCGCTGGGGTTATGTAATAGCACCCAGCTTGCATTAATCACACTAACAATAGTCTTCTATGTGCTGTTTAATATTCCTATGAATTATCTCAGCATACATGCTGCTAATGTGTGTTGCACAAAAAGAGTTTCGAGTACCTTTCAGTCAAGCTGAAATGAAGGAAAATTGAACAATGTCATGCAGAGAAATACATAGCCAATTTGGGAATTCTTTCTTTTCGTTACTCGAATATTTAGGTTGTGAAAAGATTTGATTAGCCTCATGTATAACGGTTGGATGAAGGGAAAAAGAAATGAGCGCACAGCTGTGACTGGGTCCTTGCTCCTGGAGGACTCATAGAGCTTCTCTGGCCCTATCAACACATAACACAATGTCAACTTCACTTGTGGATAAAAAAGGCAAAAAAAAAAAAATGCACCCTCTTGGATTCACTCATTGGCTGCACTATTAGCTCCCCACCTATTTGGTACACCACTACTGTGACTTAACGTGTATGTATAACCCAAACTTTTTTTTGTAGTTTTTAATTAAGTAGGGTAAACAGCCTCCAATGCTGCTCAGCAACTGCTGTCAAGGCACTCCATGTGCAGAATTTAAAGGATAAGTTCACCTCTTGCTAAAAAATAATAAATGCACATTTTTTTTTTCAGGTAAAAAAATGTACATGTATTATGTTTGGTTGCAGGAGCCTGTAAACCATCGCACCAGTGATCAGCAGATTGCTGGTGCCATGAAGGTCTTCTGTAGACCTGTCAGTATATCTGCTTGCCATATGGGATGTACGGACAAGCAGATATACTAACAAGAAGAATTAATGAACTACCACAGCGCTGTGGAAGTTCATTGAGAACTACACGCCGACAGCCACTAAGGCTGTTTGGACTTGTAGTTTCTCATTCACAGAGGTCTGTGAACAAGTGAGGTAGCAGGTGGGTGCATTTTTAAAACATTTTGACAGCTAGCAGGAGGAGAAGATCCCTCCGTTAGCTGTTAAAACGGGGAGTGGGGGCTGGTCTATTCATAACATGTTACAATTTACACTCTGAATATGGGTGTAACATGTAACATGTTATGAAAGGTGAACTTATTCTTTAATACTCTTTACAACATAGATTTGGGAAGTCCCCATAGGTGTGTGCAGCCCAAAGCTCAAACACACGTGTGTGTGTGTGTGTGTATATATATTTATATATACATATATACACACGCACACACACATACATGCTTCCACACAGAGCTGGTCATTTGGAGATATTTCCTATCTCCCCACCAACACACAAAGCCAGAGTGGTCTTAAAAAATTCATGGGCCCCTTGGCACAGTAATACACCGGGGGCCCTATCAGGGAGATGGCAACAAACAAACCAATAATGGGTCAAAATTTCACTACCATGACCACCAATGAAAAAGATCATATGGAGTGCAGAGTTCAGGAGTGCACTATGTACAGAGTGCAGAGTTCAGGAGTGCGCTATGAACAGCGTGCAGAGTTCAGGAGTGCGCTATGTACGGAGTGCAGAGTTCAGGAGTACGCTACATACAGAGTGCAGAGTTCAGGTGTACGCTAGGTACAGAGTGCAGAGTTCAGCTGTACGCTAGGTACAGAGTGCAGAGTTAATATGTGCGCTACGTACAGAGTGCAGAGTTCAGAAGTGTGCTATGAAAAGAGTGTAGATTTCAGTTTACAAACCCCCTCAGTACAGAACTCTTCCCAAATTTCTCCCCAAGAGAAAGCTTTCCTATCCTTCCAGTACAGAGCTATTTTCTACTCCCCTGTCCAGTACAGAGCTCTCTTACCTTCCCTGTCCCATACCCACAGCTCTCCTCTCCCCCACAGAACAGAACTATTTACAACTTACAAAGGCAGGACAGGCTACTGGCGTGGGCTTCTGTTGATGCTGCAGGTGTGACGCTAGAGCGGCTTTGTGGATACCCCAT